CCGGGGGTCCCGATCCCGCTCTGACCCAGTTCTGTTCTTCTTGCAGGAGAAGGAGATCATGAAGGAGCTGCTGGAGAACGGCCCTGTGCAAGGTGAGGGGCTGGTGTGGGCAACCCTGTCGTCACAGCCCAAAGCCCGGGTGCTGCAGGGGCTGGGGGGGGGCGGGATTGATTTCTGGCCTCGCTCCTCTTTTTCCCCCTCCCAGGGTCCCCCCAATCCCGGGCGGGGGCACCCACAGTGTGGAGTGGGGCGCCACCTGGTGGGGACAGCGCGGAACTGCGCGCGCACGGGGCCATCCCCCGGTGTATGGACGTACACAGCCTGCTGGGGGTTTATTTTATATTTATAGACATATATGTATGTGTTTTTTTATATGTATATATATTTATTTGGTTTTTTCGATTTTTACATATATATTTTTAATATATATAGATATACACCCCCAATAATGGACATTTCTGTTTTTCTGTGTATAAAACACAGCCATTACTGTGGTTTTATATTAACACAGACTGCTGGTTTATTGATTTTTTTAATATATATTATTAATTATTATTAATTATTAATATTTATTATATACTATTATTTATCTAGACACACGTAAATATATATATATAAATATATATTTCTATACATACACACAGCCCCACACTGCCATTGATACACCCCAGCAGACACCACTGCTTTTATACACACATTCACACACAGAGACACTGAGAGGCTGCTGGTCACACACACACACACACCCCCCCACCAACAGGCTCTGTGTGTCGCTGTGTGTACATACACATGTATACAGCAGTATCTGTTGGGGGGGATGTATATATACTTTTACATATTTATACACACACAGAGTAGTGTACTGTGTATGTATGTGTTACAAACAGCAGTGTCTGTTGCTGGGGAAGGTGTAGATACGCCTTTTAATACACACACACACACACACACACACACAGAAGTGGCCTTTACTTTGCACATATTAACAGCAGTTGGGGGTTGTATATATACTTATATATATATATATATATATTTTTTTTTTACACACACAAAACCACACTGAATAGTGTCCTGTAGTGTGTATATATTATAAACAGCAGTGTCTGTTGGGGGGGGGTGTGGGGTTATATATACTATTATACACACACGCACACACACACAGAGTGTCCTTTAAATGTGTGTATTACAAACAGCAGGGTCTGTTTGGCGGGGGTGTATATATACTTTTCTATGTATGTAAAAACACACACACACACACACACACACACACAGAGTGTCCTTTAATGTGGGTATTATACACAGCAGGGTCTGTTGGGGGAGTTTATATATACTATTATACACACACACACACACACACACACATAGTGTCCTTTAATGTGGGTACTATAAACAGCAGGGTCTGTTTGGGGGTGTGTGTGTATATATACTTTTTTATATATATGTATGTAAACACACACACACACACACACACACATAGTGTCCTTTAGCAGGCATCTATTATAAAAAGCAGTGTCTGTTGGGATGGGGTGTACATAAACTTTTATTTATATATATATATATATATATATATTCACAGTACACCAAAGTAGTAGTGTGCTTGTATTATAAAAGTGTCCATTTGTGGAGGAGGTGGGGTATATATACTTTTTTAAATACACACACACACACACAGAGCGGTGTCCTGTAGTGTGCATATATTATAAAGAGCAGTGGATGTTGGGGGTGGTGGTGGTGGTGGTGTGTGGTATATACCTCTTTTTATATATATATATATATATACACACAAGCACAGGCTAGTGTCCTTTAGTGTGCATATATTAACAGCAGTGTCTGTTGGGAGGGGGTATATGTACTGATATACAGACACACACACACAGAGTGTCCTTTAGTGTGTATATATTATAAACAGCAGTACATGTTGTGAGACTGTATATATACTTTTACATATATATGTGTACACACACATACACACAGAGTGTCCTTCAGTGTGTATATATTATAAGCAGCAGCATATGTTGTGAGACTGTATATATACTTTCACATATATAGATATGTGAGACTGTATATATACTTTTACATATATATATGTGTGTACACACACACACACACACAGTGTCCTTTAGTGTGTATATATTACAAACAGCAGTATATGTTGTGAGACTGTATATATACTTTTATGCACACACACACACACACAGAGTGTCCTTTAGTGTCATGCATTAAAAACAGCAGGGGCTCTTAGAGTGTGTATATAAATAAGCAGCAGTGTC